CTTTCTTTCTTTCTTTCTTTCTTTCTTTCTTTCTCTGTTTTTTTTTTTGCTTTCCGTGATTGGTTTATTACACTATTACGGTTGGCGCTCTGGATTTTCCTTTTACATTGCTAACGAAGGACACCACATAGCAATGCACTAGCATTGACTGCAGACGTAATTTTGCGAGCGAGCGCATTTTGCTGAACTTTCTAATATCTTTTTTGTGATAGATTATTTCCCAGAGGCTCCCGCCAGAAGGACATACGGTAAGCAACAGGCAGTATGGCTTTGGCAGGTTATGTGTTGGCTGATTTGTACGACGATTTCAGATTGAAGTTATTCAGCACGTTAATGGTTTTCAATTCTCTATTTTGCAATTGCCCATAATTCACTCTGTTTGCCCCCAAATTTTGCATAAACTATTATTGTGAAATTCTCTTGGGAGATCTGCATATTCTCAAGAGTATTTCGCAACAATAGTTTATACCAAATTTGGGGGGCAAACAAAGTGAATTATTGGCAATTGGAAAATAGAGAATGGTAAATTTGTCTTATGTTTAATATCGCAGGCGGGGACTACAAGTACGGCCTCCCGTCTAAACGTAAACCATGTAAGTAAAGCGCCAACGCACTCAGTACAATTCTTCCCTATAGACCACGTGATCACTTAGAATATATATTTGGACTTAGCATGCGAGTAGACGCACGTATGCGGAGCAAAAGGGGTGAGCTTTCTTGACGCTTCCGCATTAGACTCCTCCCGCCGGGCAGCTACGCTTGTGTGTGTGACTCAAAGATGAGCTTAATGGAAGGTGGCTATGTGTGACCGTATTGATGGCTTGTGTCTTGTCTTTTAACAGATTTCCCTGAAGCTCCTATTAGGAGAACATACGGTAGGCAAAGTTACTTTCTCGTATTACAGCACTAATTTTTAATTGGACTTCTTTCTGGGCTGTTCATTCCGAACAAAAGAAAGCATTGCTACAGACCCCACCCTCTGTCGATCTCAACTCGTGTAAAATTTACTGAAGGCCGTTTTACTACAGTCTCCATTTATGTTTGGTTTCAGAAGGCAGCTACATGTATCGCAAAGCGTATGATGATCCTCCACGTAAGTAAAAAGTCGTTTCTGATTTTCTCAGTGAGAGCGATCGCAGCGTCCCAGCCTGACCAATCAGTGAAAATCGATGAATTGGAAAGCAACTCACAGAAAGGGTGGCATAGAGGTGCAGAACAACGAGTACGGTGCGCGGCAGACCGCGTGGAGTACGAGACGAGCGCGACATGTGGAGCGCGGGCCTCTCTTTTTTTCGGGTACACGTCGCTCGCCCTCGCTCTTCGCGTTGGTGTACCACGCTCTGCTCCGTTAAAACGCCTGTCCGCCTGTCCGCCTGTCCGCCTGTCCGCCTGTCCGCCTGTCCGCCTGTCCGCCTGTCCTTCAGTCTGGAAAGAAATCGCTTTTGACCTCGAGAAAATTAATGCTATCAATGCGGAACGAATAAATAAAAAGAGACTAACATTACATTCTCATGTTGTGTTATGATTGCCTTACTCTTTCGCATTTATTCATTTTTTTATCAGATGATTCATCGTCCTGGAACCGAAGAGGATTTTTACCCAATAGCGACCCAATCGAAGCCTTGAAAAGAGTCCCTTCTGGTAAGACCTTAATCTGAGCTTTTAGCTAATAACGATTTCTTTGGAAAGTTGTTCAGATGCATTTTCAGATGTTTAAAGGGACACAGTCAGCTTCGGGACCGCGCTGACTTGGACACTAGTTTTCTCACTTTGAAAAAAGTCCATCTCAACCTGAAATCAAAGATACTCGTCGAGTACATCTAGGAATCCGCTTCAATCTTCGCAGTGTTTTGCTTGATTTTCAGTCGTTTACTGCGAAACCTGTTTTTGAGTCTGCTTTTGCTCATCCTATGATATTATTTTTATCATACTTGGTTAAAAGCAACATGGATCGCGTCTCTCTGATATGCAAATTAGCTATGAGCACCAGCTGAGTGTGTCCCTTTAATATGTGCTCGAGGTACGAGCCACTCCCACACACATTAGCAGCCAGTAGTGTTTCTGTATAACTCTGTGATGCAATCTCTTTCCCAGAACCTACGTGTCTTTTGGTCAGCGCCAAGACACGGAGCTCTGGAATAATCAATTTCCAGGCTCCAAGATTTTAGGAGTTCCGGTTTTACGGCGCATGCGTGCCTTAGTTTAAAACATGGCAATTTCGTTCTCAGAGCCCACGTGTCTTTTGGTCAGCGCCAACGAAATATCTACATTTTGTGATGTCTTACATGAAAAAAAACAAAAAACGCAAACAGACTCTCGAGAGTGCGCAGTACGGTACGGACTGGAAATCATCTTCAAGACCTTACTTATCTTTCCTTGTTCTCTATCCTCAGAAATGACTAGAGCGGAACACATGGCGCTTTCCAGAGGAACATGGCTTCCAGGTGAACAGTCAATAAATGTCACTTTGAAAGTTCCTTCTTTGAAAGTTTTTTGTTTTCAGACAACAGTAAAGGAAATCAGGTTGTCGAGCCGACGTAATAAATTAGAGTTTTCCTTCAAAACAGATAACGAGCCTGTGAAAGTCCCACCCAGGCTACCTCCACCAGCACAACCAGGTAACGTGTTTCATGATTGGTTCAGACTGTTTCATTTTTTTCCTCATTCAGTATCGATTCATTGTCAAGCCTGAGACAGTTAATAGCTAGAAGCAGAGATCATGATCTTCAGCTGAGAAATATACCCCTGATGTATCACTGAATTTTCTCAACTAACATTAATTAAACGAATTGGAATGACTCGTAAGTAATGCCTTCTTAGAAGATCTATGTCGCAGAAGTTGTATCTTGAATAATTCAATGTCCTATTCTCTAAGTAATCCGTCTGGATTTTCACCAGTCCTAACTATCTTTTCTTCACCCCCAGAGTGGTTTTCAATCATCTTGTGGTCGCGTTTGATTTGAAGGCAATTTTGCGCATCGCTAAAAATGACTTTATCAAATGTGCTCATTGCAGACGCCGATGCTCGGTTGTACAATGATGTCCACAAACAGTTGAACGATAAGGAAACCGAGGACTTAATTCACGGAAAAACCGGTATGAGCCAGGCAATAACAGTTTTTTCTTTTTGACTCGTGCTGAATAACTTTTAAATTATTTTAAAAAAGACAGATTTTAGTCGCAAACTCTAGCAGAACAGGAGTAATGATGGATGATTAAAGAATCTGAGGGTCTGGAACAAACTACGAAATATCATCTTGTCGTGGGAGGGGAGGGACGTCGTGGCACTTTATTTTGACTACACGAATGGGAATCAGTATAACAACAGCCGGGCTTGATGTACTAACAAATTCTCAAACCTAGCATGTAAGGAAATGTGGAGGGATCAATGAGGAGAATTTCCATTTTGACCCTGGAAGTATCACCAAGTTGACTATGACGGTTTTTAACGCAGGGATGACGGATCTACAAAAGCGGAAGCGATATCTCATGGATCTGTTAGCGGAGAAGTTGAAATCAAGTAAGATATATGGGTTATTGACCAAGTGTGAGGTCAAGATGGCTGGATATTCTTTTATTTTTGCGTATGTATGGACCGAGACGGAGTCGAGGTCCATAACCACGCAAAAAAAAGAACGAGGCCAATATCCAGCCATCTTGACCGAACAAGCTTGGTCAGTACAGGATTTATTATGTGGCTTTCGAGGAAGTTTTTCTTGCGGGACACGGCGGGTAGTCCCGAGCGGACAAGATGGCTCCATCTTGCCCGCTCGGGCAGCCAATCACAGCGCAGGATTTGATTCATCTTGCCCACTCACGGAGCTAGCCATATAATAAATCCAGTTATTTTCTTTCACAAACTACAGAACTATTACAGTTTTTTTTTTTCTGGGCAAAACTCACTTTTCTCCTTGTTTCTCGACTTCCGATGTTTCCGGCCGTTAAGAAGCCAGAAAATAGCAAGAAACAAAGGAGTTTCTTTTTTATTTTTGTTCAAATTTTATTTCGTTCATCATTTTTTTAGAAGTGAACGAAGCTCAGAAAAGGGGCGTGAAGATTCCGACCAAAATCATGGATTTCTTGTGGAATTGTAAGTCTTCCAGTTCTAGTTAAAAGATTTTGATCCTTTGTTTGTTTGTGTGTTTGTCTACATAATTACTTCCGTTCTGGTGTATCTGACTTTGTTGTGGTTGATTTCCTTCTTAGATGAGTCTCGCCGAGGATTGGATACACAATCTGGTAAATAACTTGCCTGTAGGATTTAGCTCTGGGTTTTTGTCAACGCGAACCTGGAAGGCGTATTTACAAATACAAGCGGAAAGCCTTCGATGGAATCTGCAAGCTTGTTCCCAACCGTCTCCAATCTTTCAATAGAGAAGTGGAAGTATTCCCCCCTGGGACCAGGGGTAGCCCATTGGTAAAAAACGCTTGCCTCAGTTCCCTCCAAAGACACCCAGGTTATTTGCGTCAAGGGTTTTTCTCTGGGTTCTCCAGTTTTCTGTCATAAAAGCCAACAAATTCCTGTTCGATCTGGAAACAGAAGACGAACAGGTTCTCCGTGCGCCCAACAATTCCATTTACAGTTTGCAATTTTCCCTTTTTGGGGTTCGGAGTCTTGCATTGTTTCTTTTCGCCGTCAGATTCCTCGTCCCAGGGTGTCAAATTGTGGGGAAAACGCTACCAAAGAAATATAAACGAGGGTGGACTGGAACTAGAGAGTCTGGGACACTCCCGCAAGACCTGGAAGTATCAGAGAAATTAAAATGTTGGTGTGTTCTGACTGGAAACTGGGAACAATTTAAAAACACGTCAGCGACTGCGCCAGCTTTATTATTAACTTTGGATTTCGTCGTATTGATTTTACTAATTGTTTGAAATTTCCTTGGAAGAGGAAAAAAGCGATTTCTTGTAGATGAAGCCCTTCGCATAATACGCGCAACTCTGCCTTAACACGTGCGAGACTGATTTTACATGCGCATCGCGTTACTATATACTACCGTGGCATGAGGAATCAAAATGATCAACTTGGAGCAAGCCCACCAATGGCGTAAAATTAGAAGGGTAGACATTGGAAGTCTTGTGTGGTACTGTTTTGGTTTCCCAATCCTATAAATACAACAGAAACCGTACATCTGCAGGCCGTCGACTGAGACGTAATTAACTGTGTTCCTTTGAAACAATGCTCAACACAGAAACACTTGCTCACATTAAGGCGCTTTCCGTTCCGATCTGACTGAAATTTCAGAGGGGCAACGGGACAGCATGAAAACCCAAGGAATGTTTCGTACCATTTACCCTCGTTTCGAAAGTTCCGTAATTTTCTGTTGAATGGAAAGTGCCCATAAATTATTTGTGGTGTCAACTAAATCAAGTAATTAAATGTGCTTGGCTTTTTTTTTTCTCTCGCCAGATAAAAACCGCTTGAGCAATTGAGAAGTCCAACCTGAAGTTTCGATCCGATTATGAATGGCTAATGACTATTACATGAAAAGCTTTACTGTTGTAGCTCACGCTACTGAGTGACTAGTACAAATAAAACTTAAGCAGGTTAATCGTCCTATAGATGAAATGTAGTAAAATTTAGATTGTGTTACCACAACGGAGTACAGTTTCCTTCTTTGCTGGTAACAAAGCCTCTATTTTTATCCGAAGATCTTTGGACATTTAGAGAAATAATAGTGGTTACGTTGTTGTCCATTTAGAATTATTACGAAGGGAAAAACGATAATTCGGTGCAGATACACGGCTAAGATAAAAACGTACATGACAAATAATTCAGCACAATTTTAACC